ATGAGCTTCAGATCCATAACTAAGATTTTCTATCTATCTATCTATCTATCTATCTATCTATCTATCTATCTATCTATCTATCTCATTCTGTTCAATATCTATCTATCTATCTATCTATCTATCTATAATAATAATAATAAATTTAAAAAAGAAAGAACATTAGAGAGGAAAACTGAATCCCAACAGAGCCAAAGTGATCAATTTGAAAAGATCCAATTCAATCCATAAGACGCTTGGACCATGTGAGAGAAGTTTCAGCTATGACAGTTAAAAGAGCAGTGAAAAAGGAGTTGAAAATGAAATCATACCTGAAACCTGTGAATCATTTGTTGCTCCGAAAAACTGATTAGAGAAGACGAAGATCATATTGAATTACTTGGAAAATGATCCAGAAATAATATATATATATATATATATATATATATATATGAACTTTATTACAATCTTTCATGAGCTTCCGGTGCTTAGCTATGATTAATTAATGATGAACATGTCATTTTCATAGTGTTAATTTTAAATACTATTTTTGAAGCCAAAATTGCTGTTTTTTTCAACAGTTTACTGATAAGGAAGCATTTAAGGAAAGCAGGCTTTTTTATATATATATATATATATATATATATATATATATATATATATATATATATATGATAAAATGTTATAATAGAAACATGCTGAAATCGCTACACAAAAGCCATCATGTTTCAATAATTTGTACTTCGTCAGGCGTTGTTAATTAAAATGATTTTTAATGAAATTTAAAAAGAAGGTGTTACCGCTTTTTCGAAAGTTAAAGGTGGGAACAAAAGGTCAGAATTAAAAATAAACTTCTGGGTATGTCTTGGTTAACCAATTAAATCTTTTCTAATTAGAAAAGTAAGGTTAGAGGGTCAGTTATTTTTTCATGTTGTGATAAACCGGAACATAGACAGTGTACCATTGACAATTGCAAGAAATATGTCAGCGACAAATGTATCGTGATTGTAGACGGATATATATATATATATATATATATATATATATATATATATATATATATATATATATATATTCGCGTGATGAATAAACAGGGCTTGATACTTTAACTTAATTCAATTTTAATAATTATATTGAGTTTCTCGTTTTTTAAATATGTAGCGAAGGAATCGTATTTTTAAAAAAAAATAATTATAATTTAAGCTCTACTTTTGTATGGAGCACTGTTTTTTTTTTTAAATAAAAACAAAAATAATAAAGAACTCCAGATTATTTACCGAGCGTGTTCTGATTTGTAACCTGTAGTCGATATTAAATTTGTCAAATTTTTTCAATTACAAAGCGGCACGCCGTTCAATTTTACTTTCCGTCGTCCCATTTCACGCCCCCACCTCGTCTTTTCCTCCCTCTTATTCTAACATTAGATTGTCTATGGTGTGTATATGTCACCACGAAATGTATCTTTATGCATTAGACATCCGACAACATTCATATTTCTCTTACTTAAACCCCTTCCACTCACCTCTCCTAAAATTCTCTCTGTTAAGGTTTAATCTCCCTCCTCCTCATACTTACACTCTCTCTAAATTCTGTTTTTATTTCCGGAGTTGTTTTTTTCTGTTTTCTTTTTGAATTTCTAGGTCTGATGAATTGATCGTATTTACGATTCCAATGGAATAAATTATGACCATGGAATATTTAGTGTTTTTATTTTATATATATATATATATATATATATATATATATATATATATATATATATATTCGCGTGATGATGAAACAGGGCGTGATACATTAACTTAATTCAATTTTAATAATTATATTGAGTTTTTTCGGCTCTCGTTTTTTGAAACATGTAGCGAAGGAATCGTATTTTTTTTTAAAATAATTATAATTCAATCTCTACTTCTGTATGGAGCTCTGTTTTTTAAAAAATAAAAACAAAAATAATAAAGAGCGTGTTCTTTCCAATTTTTCTACATATCTGCACACACACACACACACACACACACACACATATATATATATATATATATATATATATATATATATTCAGTTTATATGATTTTATAGATGTAATTTATGTAGGTAAATGCTCTGTTTTTAATTAAAAAGTATTAATTCAATTTATCGGCCTGAATATTTGTTGTGGTAAGATCCACCTAATTTGCATATATATATATATATATATATATATATTATTTCTGGATCATTTTCCAAGTTATTCAATAGGATCTTCGTCTTCTCCAATCAATTTTTTTGAGGCAACAAATTCTCCAGGAACGGTCTTACCAGGAATATACAAAAGACTATATGTAAATATTGTGTACACTTTCTTGTTTCAATACATTTTGTTCTAAGTACATTTTGTGTTGCATTATTATTCCATGCATTAGTCAAGTTTCAACACTATCTCAGTCTGTTCATTATCTATCTATCTATCTATCTATCTATCTATCTATCTATCTATCTCATTCCGTTCATTTTCTATCTATCTATCTATCTAATTAGGCTGTTCATAGCTATTTCAGTTTCTTTTTTTTTTCTAGCTGATCTGCCTATCTTTTTCTTGTCATTATCTATTAATCTATCTTTTTTATCTCATACCTTTCGTTATTATCTATCTATCTATCTATCAAATCTATCTATCTATCTATCTGTGGTGGTAGGAAATTTGCATAGTGGAGTACCCACCATATAAATATGGTTGGTACCGGGAAGAGAGGAGGAATCAAGAGATTCAACCTGAGACTCTGTGACTGCGACTAAATCAACCCATTCTCCAGGAACGGTCTTACCAGGAATATACAAAAGACTATATGTAAATATTGTGTACACTTTCTTCTGTCAATACATTTTGTTCTAAGTACATTTTGTGTTGCATTATTATTCCATGCATTAGTCAAGTTTCAACAATATTCGAGAAACTTCTTTGAAAATATGTGCTTCTCCAGCAGGAATCGAACCTGTAACCCTTAATAGGAAAGATCATTTGATCTGATGTGGTGCTGTTAACCATTAAACAGCAAAGAAGCAAAATCTGAATTTCTCTTTATAAACACGTACCATAGAAGATTTTTCTCGATCGATCATATTTGCCCCAGGATTCTTTCTGGCTGAATGGTTAACAGCACCTCAGATCAAATGATGGTTCACATTAAGGGTTACAGGTTCGATTCCTGTCTCAGAAGCACTTATTTTCTACGGAATTTCTTGAACATTCAGGCCGCTTTACTGCCTTGCATGAAGAGATACAGGTTAAAAAAGACAGATAGATAGATAGATAGAGAGAGAGAGAAAGAAATAAAGAAAGAAAGAAAGATACATAGATAATGAATAGACTAAATTAGATAGATAGATAGATATATAGATAGATAGATAGATAGATAGATAGATAGATAGATAGATAGATAGATATGAAAACAGTGAGAGGATATAGAGATAGAATGAGATAAACCGAAAATAGATACATAGATTGATTTTAACAGACTTAGATAGATAGACAGATATATACATATATACAAACTGAGATAGATAGATAGATAGATAGATAGATAGATAGATAGATAGTGAACAGGCTTGGATAAAAAATTTAAATGCAATGTCAATCACTATTTACTGTCTTCCTGATTACTTTTTTCGCTTCCTGATCATTATTAATGTTTCTCTTCGTCATTTTTCCACGCCCTGTAACCCCTAAGATAGATAGATAGATAGATAGATAAGAAAACAGTGGGAGAATATAGAGAAAGAATGAGATATAGAGAAAATAGATACATAGATTATTAACAGACTGAGATCGATAGATAGATAGATAGATAGATATGAACAGACCGAGATAGATAGATAGATAGATAGATAGATAGATAGATAGATAATGAACAGACTTAGGATAAAAAAATTTAATGCAATTGTCGAACAATCAAGTCAAGATAACCACTCAGTTGTTGAGTGAAGACTAAAACATTTAATGCAATGCATCTCATTATGCTAAAGTGGGATAGTCCATTCTTGGGCTCTGATTGGCTGCTGGTACCTGAGTGGAAGTATTACTATATAAATTAGCATGATTTTCAGTTTGCAGGATATGTATTTTACAACCTGCTTTATTTTTGTCTGCCAGCTTAGTTGGAATTCTTACGCCGGTACGTGCTTTTTATTATTGTTATTCTAATCTCCTTCCCCCCATCGCGTGTGGGTATTTGGGGAGGGAAGTTCCTTTAAACCCGGAAGTAGTCTGGACAATGCCCGAGGGTTTTTGTCCGTGTTATTGTAAACGGCTGAGCAGTGTTTGATGTTATTCCAGCGTCGACTGTTTGTTGCACTGGTGTAAGGTGTCTCAGCTATTGCATTTTGAACTGGAATTGTTGGTGTATCCAGTGAGAAATCGGCGATTTCGTAAGGTAATTCTACCTGATCCGTCAACTCTGATACGGTATTGGTGGTTGGGAGGATTTCAATGACCTGACCTGTTGTGTCCCATCGACGGGTTGTTGGTCTTTGTGGATTTGTCCTTTTTGAAGGGGTTTAAAGTGTGTGCTGTTCTGTTGTATCGCTCTATGAGACGAGCGTTCCGCCGGGACAAACTTATCTCACGATTTTGTGCTGCGGTTATCCAACGTGTGGCTTATAGATGGGATGTTTAGTCAAAAGTAGTTGAGCAGGGGATAGCCCAATGTTTTGAATGGGCGTATTTGTATTGGAGGATGGCTCTTGCTGCACGGTTATTATCCAATGATCCTTGGGCTCCTGTGTTGCCATTTACGATTCTCTTGGCTGTTTTGACAGCGAGCTCTGCTCGACCATTGGATTGTGGGTAACCAACAGATGATAACCTTTGTTTTTTGCGGGAAATAATCCTTGAGGCATTAGCTTTCCGTGGCTCAAGTGGTATAGAAGCCAGCCCGTTAATCTGTCAGCGCATGCTAGTAACCAAATGGAAAAACGAGATGGCCAATCAGGAGATGGTGTCAAATTGAACTTTTGAGCAGAACGTACAACCGATTACGAATTAATTTTAAAAAATTGGCACGTGCCTTCATGCCAACTTCGCCTTGATGTGCAGAATTAGGCATTGTGAGGTGGGGATAACAATTCTTTGATCTAAGAGCACTAATCGTCAACACTTAGGCGGTGCCTCACTTCCCAATAGTTTGGTGAAAATGCGCGTTCTTTGGAATCCGTTTTGTATTACTTCTATTAATTTTTTGTATTGCGGGTCGCTGCGTCCCGCCGTACGGATAACGTCTGAGAGAAAAGGTTGTCATCACCGAATGTTGCATAAAGGTTTTTGACGGATCAAACAGACTATGATGTCTGTTTTAGTGAATATATTGAGATGATTATTTAGGCTTTTCCCAGGGCAGTGCTGAATTGAATCTAAAGGGTTTTCTCCAATGAATAATGGGGGTTTAGATTTTACTAAATCTCCGAAAAATGTTTCATGATCTTTTTTTCATTTTACAAAAAATCCGACATTTTTCCAATGCCCATGCAATTGCTGCTGCGCCTTCAATAGGTGCATATTGCGTTCAGCATCAATGCAGAATCTGCTACCAGCAAATATCAGGCGCCAACCTCAGGGCAGCAAACTGGGGCTTTGTCAGTGGTGCATGAGCAATTTTGCAGAAGTAGGAAGCCCATCCAATCTGGGGCAAGGCAGGTTATTCTTTCTTTTTGAAATGTTGCGATGCCTTTTCGGACTAAGTCAACTATGACCTTCTTTGATGGAAATTAGGCTTTTTTTGTAAAGTGTGAGTCTCGTTTTACGAGATCACGAAATGGAAGCATGACTGGGCTTTTGAATATGCCCAGCGACTTGGTTGACCAGCCCAAACCATGATCTGGCATCGGTGAGTGTCTTTGGTATTGGGAAGCTCAATAAAGAAGGGTTACACCAGAAGATGTTATTTGAAAACTGCCGTGTCTTGCAAAATTGGAATTTTTCTCTATTTATTACGATGGTTTTTGCACAATGGAGGAGAAAACGAATTCATAGAGAGGGTGTCATCCAAACTTTGCGGGGATGTCTTTTATTACTTCATCATATCTTCGGGTGTAGGCATCGCCAGATGCTAAAAACCTTTGGCATTCTCAGAAATGAACCTTCCCCATTCTGTGATGAAGGTGGTGAGTGGGCTGGGACTCTTTATCTAAGGGGATGGAATGACGATTGTAGTGCTAGCTGGAATGGTGACCCTGTATGGTGTGTTTCCCGTTTGCACTGTGAATTGAGTCTATGGTTCTTCGTGGTTTGCCATTTTTTTTTAAATATTACACCAATCAGCGGGCATGCCAACGGGCAGATACCCCTTTTCACATCTTCCCAAAGGGCCTGTCTTGGCTCTTTGAAGTGAAAAATGTTTGCTTTGGGGACTGCTCCTTCTTTGAGGTGTATATGTGCAGTGGGGAAGACATCGGTGGAATTCACCATTGGAACGTTTCGCAAAGGCCAATTCTTTGAGCTTATCAATGTTTTGTTCTGTTGGAAGAAAAGGAGTTTGTTATCAGAGTTGTCCCTCGACTTTGCATTGTTTAGGGCTCACGTCCGACCGAAGGGCTTGCAGAGGAATGTGTTGCATTGTTGTTTGGGTAATATTGTAGTTGTTGGTTGTTTCTTTGTCGTATCCCCACATCAATGTTACAGAGATAGCCGCTGAATCTTTTTGCATATGTATAGGGCTTGTTTAGTTGTTCTTCCGGGGAGCCAACCCTGACATCCAGCGTAAAGAAGCTCGGACCTTTTCTTGATGGAATGAGGTTTTCGATAGTGAGCCCCATATTCGAATCCCCTGAGACACATGTCATTGTCACAGGTTGATTTCTGGGGATTTGTCTGGGATCCAGGAACAACATATGCATCAATTTCCTTATCTGGCCTGTGTCTTTAGACGTATACGTGCCTGTCGTTTGATTGAATGTGATGTGGGCGATAGTGTGTCCATGGCGGCTTCATTATAGGCTTTTCCTGACTTGAGCTGGTACCCTCGATAGGTGATTGGGCTTCCCACAATTACTACATGTTTGTCCCCATGCTGGGCATTTTTAGCCGGCGTGATTCAGTTCCTGAGGTGCCATGCTGGTGGCTGAACAAGCCTGGTGGTTTGGTTTGCAGTTGCAATAGGTGCTGGTACGGATCGCCTCGTTGGCAGGGTACCCTTCTGTCTGCACCGAGCAGCAGCTGTAGAAGCACTGGCCATTGAGGTTTGGTCCCGCAATTGATTCAAACTCAGCATGACGGATAAGGGATTTAGTGCCCCAGCTTTGGCCAAAAGCCGAGTGGATTTGCTATTCCACGGATGATCTGGTCCTTGATGTATATATCAGACAGGTCATGTTATACAATCAACGGCTACGGCTCTGAGGCGGACAAGGTATTTGTATTGGCTCATATGAGACATGGAGGCAAAAGCAAGGCGATGGACAATAGGATATGACCAATACCATGTATAGATTATCAGGATCAGTGGTAAAGAAGTCAGGGTGTGTTGATTATGGCATTTTTGCACAGCCTCATCAGCACAATTGTATAGGTGAATATTAGCTTGGGAGTTTGGCATATTTGTCATCTTGGTAAAGACATTTCGGAATCCTGAATTGCTGTGGTGTTTCGAGATTGAGATGAGGAGGCTTGGCTGCTAGTGCCTGAAATTCCTTAGCCTGCTTAATGATACACAGGGCTTCTCCCATTACAAAAATCCAGCATTTTTCTGATTGTCAGCTTCTCGTCCGCAAACCTTGTTGCATGAGTTTTGGCCGAGTCGGTGGATATATATATATATATATATATATATATCAGTTTAAAGTGAAAAAAAAACAGAGCTATTTATGGTAAGGATTCCATTATTGGCTGCTGGTAATGGAAATTACTATATTTAGCATTTCTCAGTTTGCAGGATATGTATTAAGTTACAACCTGCTTTATTTTTGTCTGCCAGCTGGAAGTTGGAATTCTTACGCCGGTTATCAGCAATGTCAGATCTAGCTGATTACTCTTTTCTCTTCTGCCCCTTATTAAAGTTTCTAAATCTTCAACACCATTTGAAACTTTTTTAAGAAGAAAAATTTTGAAGTGTCACCGTCGAGGGAAACATTGATCGTGTTTACTACATGCTGATGGATGACAGGCGACTGGTTTTTCTAGATTGTTTGAAAATTGACGGAGTTTTTAGTTTAAAATTTGTGTTCAAATCGATTTGCGTTGGAATTGATTTTTCGTTTTTTTGCGGGTTTTCGCTAAACGCAGTGGCGTAGAAATAAAAACGAGATATCGTTGATGGAACTCGTCGATTATTAATTTTAAAAAAAACCTATCTCTTACATTATACAATGTATGTGCCAAGTTTGGTCAAAATCGGTTGGAAAGATCTCGAGTGAAAAGGTATCATCAGACGGACAAACAGACATCCTCTGTTTTATATATATTGAGATTATTTACTTTTTGTCTTTTGTAAAACAATTACTAGATATAAAAAGAAAAATGTTGATTTTTTTCATTTTAAAATTTTAAAGGATTTTTTGAAAAGTACAAGATTACTTTTTCCATATGTAAATTCTACCGGCATACATAATTATTTTTTTTTAATAATAATAATAATTTTTTAATCAGTATCACCCCAATTAAGGCAATAAAGACACAAAAACGCATGGATTACAGGTTATGGACGGAGAGAAAGATCAGGAGACGATTAGACAGCGTTTGACATTGCATTTAAATATTTGCAGATTAAAGTTGGCAAATATGTTTTCTGCGTGTGGCCGAGCGAAGAGTAATGGACGCGAGGCTGCACGGCCGTATCAGATTGCGTGTCTAGACCGAATGCAGCCGAAGCATGCAAGTTGTTTATCGTCGCGTTACAGAGATAGGAGCAGGCTATAAATCGTACCCCTGACTACGAATAACACATTCAACAGGTTGTCGGAGACGATCCAGGTAAAAAAGCCCTAGTATTTTATATCACAGTACATCATTGAGGGTGCTTCAAGTGCAGCTTCTGTATTGAACAGATAGCCAGTGCCCATAGTAAACGTTAAAAATAACCAAAACGAAGATTTGAGGACATATATATATATATATATATATATATATATATATATATATAAATATATATATTATATATATATATAGTGGGGAAGCCGTAGATGTGAACTTTTATCCTTGTTTTGGTGTGAGGAACCCAACCTCATGTATTACAAAAATATTTGTGATAAACCCTTTATATATATATATATATATATATATATATATATATATATATATATATATATATAAAAAAAAAACCACTTTAAGGTTCCATTTAATAATTTAACAGCCCTTTTAAAAGTACACGGATCATCAGATAGCACCTCCAAAAGATGAAACGAAAAATGAAATGGAAATTGATGGGTAGTGTAAGTTTTTGTAATTTAACAGAGATTGTAATAGGGAGTAGTTAGAGAGACATGGCAGAGTTTAGAGAGAGTTTAATTTAATATCTCTCTCAATCATACTTTGTATTGGGGGAGGAGGAGTGACCAGACCTTGATCTATTTAGACGGTTAACTTAACGGAAGTGATATATTGAAATGGGAGGGGAGAAGAAAGAAAAGGAAAAAAGAAAAAGAAAGAAGAGGGAAGTAAAGAGAAAGAGGCTGTAAATGGGTTTTACATATGGAGGAGATGGGTGGTAAGTTTTAGCAATTTATGTAAAAAATAGATTTTAATGTTAGTAATTTAGATGTCTAAGAAAATCCACGAAGAAATTAATTTCATGCTTGCAAGCAAATTAAATATTTAACTTTCTTACAAATAATTTAGGGTTAAATACTGTATTTATTAACACATTCATAGAGAACACATTAAGAAATTTTAAACTATAACAGTTTACTTGTCCGACCAATAGTACTCTTTTTAATCAAAAGGACAGTTAAGGAAACATCTTTATCAGTTTTAATTTATGAATGTAATTTGAAATTATATAGCGGAAAACGGGTTTTCCGCTACAGTTTAACCATGTTTCAAAAATAGAAACAGGGTTTTTGAATC